CCGGCTCACCGCACGCGTCGGCGCCGCTCCGGCCCCGCCCCCCGCCAGGCCCGCGGCCCGGACCAAAGTTGCGCAGAAAAGCCCCACAACTGGCAAATACTCACCGGCCGCAGCAGGAACCTGGGCTGCGGAGATTTTAGGGAGTTTAAGGCAAATCAGCCGCGGGAAAGGCGGGCGGAGGCGAAAGGGCCGTAAGCTGCAGTGGCGGCGGCGTGCGGCGCTCGGGCTGGGCTGCGCGGAAAGGCTCTGGCTCTGCCAGGGACTGTGCTGCAACAAAGGACTTCCGCTGCCGCACAGCCGCGCCTGCCGCACCGCACTGAGCCGGCCCCGCTTACGCGGCGACTCCGGGTCTGCCCACCAGTTCGCTGCGGCGTCCGCCAGCCTTCCCCTCCCTCTCGCCCGCCCACCCACTCCGCGGCTGGCTGCTAGGGGCACCCGCGGTCGCCTGTTTGTTGCAACAAGTTTCTGCGTCGGGCTCCGAGGAGGCTGGCGCAACCCGCACCGCGGGGGCCGCCACGGCTGCGGCTTGACCACCCCTCTCGCCCCTCTCCCAAGGGTAGCCTTGGGACCTCCTCCTCCTGTTTGCACAGCTGGAGGTGACTGGGCTCCTCCCGACACCCCAAGGGCAGGCTGCTGCTTTCCCACTCCGTCCAGATGTCAGACCCCTGCCCCGCAGGGCCCAGCAGTTGTGCCCTCCCTCGCCGTACGCCCCGGGCGCTCTAAGGGCGCCGGCACCCTCGCCCTGTCCCGTCCAATCTGTTCAGGGCCGGCCATTCCCGGCGCTCCCCCCACCCTGCCTTCCGTGGGCCTCCCGCTCTGGCCCTGAGTCACTTCCCCCGGCCATGCCCCACCCCACCCGCCTCCCCACCCAGACTCCCGCGGCTCGGCCTCCCTGGCGCCGCGCCCTCACTCCTCTCCCAGCGAACACGCGGGCGCATGCCTCCCCACCCTCACCCCCACCCCAGAACTAAGGGGGTGCCCGTGCTTTGCACACCCTGGGGAAAGCCCCCGGGTCACGCGGTTGTGTGTAAGGAGTCTGTGGCACTCAGGCTCATTCCCACTCTTCCGCCTACGAACGTAAGACTGAGGACCATGGAGGCACCGCCCGGAGTGCGGGCCGCTGAGGCGG